GAGGTGAGAGAAAGCACTCGGTTTGCCCAACTGGTTTGCTGGGAAGTGGCTGCAGGGTTGGCCCACAGCCTTGCCAGGCTTCCCCACAAGGTTGGGGATTATTGGGAAGGAGGGTGAAATTCCCCTTCTCCTAAATCCTGGGGGGGGGGGGGGAAAAAAAAATTTAAGGAGTTTTCCATCTGAAGGAGAGTGTGAGGAGCTTCTGTTTCCTCAGCTAGCTCCAGCATTTAGCATATGGAAAAGGAGAGGGGATGCATGAGGAGAAGATGAGGAGGGACCAAGGCCAATGAAGGGCCTGACAAGATCTGAGGATGTTTCAGGGACCAAGCTCCAACTTCCAGGCTCCAAGGAAGGAGGATCAGAGACTCCAAGGATCTGCAAGGATCAGGAACTCAGATGCTGGGACACAAGGATGAAGGCTCCAGAGATCACAGCCACAGGGCTGGGAGCAGGAGGTTTTGCTCCCACTCAGTATTTCAGCCGTGCTATGGTGACAGGGACGTGTCCTAGCTCCACATGGGATAAAGGACAGTGGGTCCAAGCGATGCCGATGGTGAAACCCAGGGAGATGGTGTGGAAAGGGTGGAAGGAAATGCCTGTGAGGACAGAGCAGGTAATAGCACACCCCCACAGCATCTTCCATGTGCCAAGGTGTGGAGCTCCTCTGGGATGTTGCTCTGGCTGAAAACCATCCCTACCAAAACATACAGCCCCTCGGGAAGCACGGCAGGAGGAGCCGGGATCTCCTGCCCAACCTGCTGGCTTTGGGAATCCTCTCCCTACAGCCCAAGCCCTGCAGCCACAGATGGACTTTGGAGGTTCTGCTGACTCCCAGAGGCTGTGAAAGCCCTGGGAATGGGGACCCATGGGCAGGCAGTGGGCAGGGCACACACCAAGAGCCCATTCCCTGAACCCCTGGGCTCCCCAGGAGCTTTCCACACACTTGTCCCCACCACTGGCCTCGTTTCAGGGGCCCCTTCACCCATGCCTTGTGCACTGGGGAGTCGTTTCTCTGCTCACAACACCCAGGAGAAGCCATGGGTGGAAGGAAGAGGCCTGCTCTGAGCTTCCCATTGCTCCCAGTCTCTCCAGCCTGCTGCAGGGATGGAGATCCGTCCCATGGCCACAGGAAGCTCCAAATTTTTATTTTCCAGCCACACTCCTTCCAGAATCCTGAGTGGGAAGGGTAGAGTTGAGCTGGCATTCTTCACCAAGCCTGATGATCCTCAGCAGAGTCCTGAGGTATCCTGCCCAGCAGAGGGGTGGGATCACCACCCGTGGAAGTGTTCAAAAACATGTGGATGTGGCACCTGGGGATGTGGTTTAGTGGTGAGCTCAATAGTACTGGGTTAACAATTGGACTTGGTGATCTTAAAGTGCTTTTCCAACCTAAATGATTCCATGGTTCCATGATTCCAAGGAGGAGTTGGCAGCAAAACTGGTTTCTGATGCTGTTGTTCTGCATAATCCAAGCTAAACCCCATTGCAGAGATTTGCACAAGATCTCCCTGTCCCCAGGGGCAGTGGGATGACAAAGATGAGTTGTCAGTTAATGCCAATGCCAAGAGATGCACAGAAGGGAAAGCCCCAGCATGGCTGGGGATGGCAGAGTCCCTAGGGATACTCCCTGGGAAGCATTAATGCCACAACTCTTAGAAGTCCAATACCAATAGAACTTCTGGTCTTCCAGAAGGTCAAGGAACCAGACAGAGTGGGAAGAACTTGGAAGGATTTGGGGGAATGCAAAGATATTCCAGCTTTTTTTCCTCCCCTCTCCCACTGAGGTGCACCCCAAATCTGTGCCCTGGAGAGCTCAGAAGGACATTTGAACCAGGAGGTCAACACCTCCAGCCCTTTTTCCCCTGCCAGTGCCTCCATCTCTCCCCACCACAAGGCAAAGAAAGAGTATCCACGGGTGAATATTTGGGGGTTTTTTTATTAAAATATTGTTATACCAAGTGGAATGCTACAGCAGCCTTGGTATAGGGGTGTGACCAACAGCCAGCTTTACCTTTAAATACTTCCAGATAACTTAAAACGCACAAACGAGAACTCGTCATCTTTGGCAGGAAAAAAAGTTCACAGCACAAAAAAAAATACTTAAAAAGAAATACCAATATTAATATAAAATATATTAAGTCATGGGGGTTGGGGATTTTTTTTTCCTCTTTCATAATCGTTTTGTTTCTTTTCCTCTTTGTAAACAATGCATGAGAACCAAAGGCATTTTTGACGTGTCTGGGGAGAGAATAATACAAAATGCAGTTGGCCAGCAAATGCACACGTTGGGGGGAGAGAGAAGGAGAGGCAAAGATAGATATATACATGAAGGGCAAGGATGGGAAGCTCCAAGGAGCTGGCGACGGGCAGAAGCCAGCTGCCTGTAGCCAGGGGATGCAGCCAGGAGAGGGGTGGCACATCCCACCACCTCTGTCAGTGTTCCTGCTTCCCTCGGAGCCTTTCACCTCCAGCTTCTCCTCCAGCTTCCATTCCCTCCATGACCACATTCTGTTTGAAGCCCTCACCTGCCCACGGTGAGAACCCTGAGGCAGGATGCAGGGGGTGGAAGTTTGAAGCTCCTGGTGCTCAGTGTGTCCATGTGGATGATCCAGGTGGTCAGTGGGACCCATGGAGGATCCCTCCCAGCTCTGCCCTTGTGCAGAGACATCAGCTTGTGGGGACAGTTCAGGCAGACAGAGAGGGATTTTTCCAGTCGGAGGCCAAACTCCTGGGGGGGTGCAGATGGTCAAGGCCCAGAGGTAGGAGCTGGGATGGGGATGAAGCTGGTGAGGTGTGGTGGTGAGGTGGTGCTGCCTTGGGGTCCCCATGCTCCAGCACGCCCTGCGCAGCTGGGGACCCACGTGGGGACAGTGATCCTCCCACACATGGAGCCACCACTGAGACCAGCCGTGGAGACACCACTGAGCTCCAGCCTCTCTCCCTCCTTCCCACAGGCTTCTCCATCCCGAGATTCTGGCAGGAGGGGCAGAGGGGCTGGATCACAGCCCCTGGGAGGCTTTAAATCAGGATCTCCACCATGTCGGACAAGTCTGGGGCTCTGGCAGCAGCTGAGCTCTCTGTGGGGAAAGAAGGGATTTAAGGGATTCGCAGGGATTCAGACCCACTCAACTGGGACCTTTGAAATGCCTTAAAAAATGCCCTGATGTGTGTGCAAAGCCCATCCCAGGAGTGCTAAGCCCATGTGCTGGAGCACCCCAGCTGCCCAGGCCGTGCCACCCCGGGGGACTCACCGGACACACCGTGCGGGCGCTCAGAGCCCTCACCCTGCGCGCTGCTCCCATCCGTCTGCGTGCTGCCGTCCTTGCTGCCATGCTTGGAGTGCGAGGGCAAGGGAAGGGCAGTGGCTGTCACGTTCCCTTCAGCTGTGCCTTTGCCTGCTGAAGGAGACTCCGTTAGGGATTCAAGGCAATGGATTCAAGTCTTCCAGGCCAAGTTGGATGGGGCTGGGAGCAACCTAGGCTAACGGAAGGTGTCCCTGCCCATGGCAAGGGGTGGAAATAGATGGGCTTTAAGGTCCTTCCAACCCAAACCATCATGGGATTCTATGGTTCTATGATCACTGGCTCCTCCTGGAGAAATCCTCCCTCCCCAAGCTCTCTAGCTGCAAAACCACAGGGGAAATTGCAGGTCTCCAGCAAGGGGAGGGGGTGGGCAGGTGTCCTGTTTACCTGTGCTGCCCCGGGAGGTGCCCTCAGCTGTCTGGTCACTCTGTCCAGGCCCTGGCCAGCTTGGGGCAGCAGAAGCAGCAAAGATGGAGGGTACGGATTTCGCTGGTCGCAGGGAGCCCTGGAGGGCTTTGCTGGGGTCCCTCCGTGAGCGCTGCTGCAGGACCTTGATGACAGCATCCTTCTCCAGGATTTGGGCATGAAGGGCTTTTAACCTGATCAGGAGAAGAGGCAGAAGGTGTGAGAGGAGTCAGTTCAGGGTAGGGGGGAGGATACAGGCAGTGCCCAGCTGGGCCACCACACAAGGCTGTTGGAGAAAAAAACATCTCTGATGAGGTGGGACTACCTGTTCTCCATCTCCTGGTGCTTGTGGCTGGCCAGGAGAAGGTCCTCGTTGAAGCTGCTGTTGGGGGAATGCCGCGGGGAGTGGCTGATGAGG